CATCCTGGGAAGTTTCTTCAACTTCCCAGTCTAGACTATAGCCCTAGGATTTTGTGTGTGTGTGTGTGTGTGTGTGTGTGTGTGTGTTAATCTATTCAATCGTGTCCAATTCTCTGAGACTGCCTGGATAAGTCCCTGCAGTTTTCTTGGTGAGGCTTTTCAGAAGTGATTTGCCATTGCCTCCTTCCTAGTCCATCAAAGACTAATTAGGTCCAGCCTTGCTTTTCAAGATCTACCTGTTGCAACTGAACACCCCTAGGGTTCAGCAGAACAGTTTGAAACACCTTCTGTTAATCGTTTTAACACAAAGTTAAAACTGAAGTCCTACTGAAGTGGGTGAAAACAGAAGAGGCAAGAAAATAACTTTCTCCTAAGGACTATTAAACCATTCTTTTCCTTTAAAAAGAGTACATGCTCTTCGCATAGACTCTCTTCTCATCATCCTGATCATCCTTCCCATTATGCTTAATGTGAAGGACCTCTGTTGGACCTCTAAGCCAACCCTCCTCCTTTCCACTGCTAGAGGAGGAATGGGGCTTCCCCACAAATGCTGTTATCAATAACCCTCTGAAGTAAAGCAAAGATATAGCTGCCAATTAGGCAGTGAGGCTTTTTGCTTACAAAGTGCACAAGCAGAAAGAGAAAATTTATGATCCATTTTTCATCTTCTTACGGTCTTTGGATAAATCCAAGCATTCCTTTTCAATGAGTGATCCAATGAAAGGGCAGCCTACTGAAAATTTAACATTGAATGCTCCTGCTGCTGCTGCCTCAGCTGAATCCTTAGTTGAGTCTCCATGTGCTCTGTATTTTTTTCACAATAAAGATGCTGCTTTAGCTACTGCCCTTAGCTACTGTCTGGGCAGTTGCAGTATCTTTGAGTACCTATAATCCACGATATCATTTACCCTAATGTTGGAATGCTGAAACAAAAAAAGTGGGGAACCCAAGAAGGAAGGCAGGCCCCAACTTAAGTGTTGAGTTGAATTCAGTAATCATCATAAATCTTATGGCTTAAACAGTGAGAAGAACCTTTCTGAGTCTCTAGTGAGTTTAACTTCCCCTGCAAATCATCTCTGTGCTTCTGTCCACCTGTACACTACCTATCCTTTCTAAAAATACATTTTTAAAAGCATCATTTGATAATCCAGTAACTGAATTTCTATCAGTCAAGTAAACTTGCAAGAATCAAAAGGCGTTTGTCCCAGAAGAACTCTAGAGACTCTTTTGCTTGACCCTGTGGAGACATGCTTTATCATGGGGAGAGTAGTTTTATCCAGAAATCGTTGAAGATGAAGATGAGATTTCATAGATACTCCTCTGATACTTTGAGTTAGCAGATGGAAACATGAAAGGTGAATGAATATTGTATTCCGTGATGGAAGAACAAATTCTGCATTAAGAGTTGAAGTGAATATAATCCCAGTTCAGAAGTGTGAGAAGCCACAAAGAATTACCACACAACACAGACTTAGATTGTTCTGATTTAGTGCGCAGTTCTTCTGGATACTCCTGGCCTCAGAAAAGTCCTCTTTCTATAATTCCTGGCTTTTATTTTAGGTTAAGAGTAAGGAGGGACAAATTGCAACTGAAATGTGATATGACTGAATGAAGGGGATATGCAAGTTTTCCCACTGGATGGAACTCCCCAGTACCAGCATATACAGGAGCATGGAGCACTGGTAACCCTAGCAGTCTGGCTTCAACTCAGATGCTGCTGCTTCTTCTTGCTCAGGGGCTAAAGGGCTGTCACAAGATATTGTAGATGATGTGTTTGCTTCATTCAGGGTCGAACTAAAAATTGAGAAAGAAAAAGAGTGAGAATTAGGTCCATGCATTTGTGGTAAGACATAGCTGAATGCCAACAACAACAATCTTCTAGTTTGATTTTGGAGCTAATGATGCTTAAAACAAAACAAAAAAAGAAAGAAAAAATGTTGGAAAAATTCAGAAAGACATGCTCTAATTTTGCAAAGGAAGTAATCAAATTCTAGGTGACAATTTGGAATGGGTATTTAATGAATATATTCCTCATGGGCAGGCATTCTGTAGTCATTCCACTAAAGTTCTTTTCAACAATATTTTGCATGTTCATTATATTTTCCTAATCAAGAGAACAGGCAGCTGGGACTAAATGATGTCACAGTAGGCAAAACTTAAAAATATTCTAACCTTGCTCTGCTGCTAGAGGCCTCCTGAGGGTCATTACTGTCTCCCTCTGGTTTAGGATCAGGCAAGGGAATGATATAATCATTGTCCAGTCCATTCTGCTCCACAGCTGTATAGAGAACAGAACTTGAACTGACACTGTCACTTGCAGTAGACCTAGAAGGATTGAATCCTGTGTTCCTGGGCCTTGTACGGACAATAGCAGGGTGGTCACTTTTCAAGAATTCTTCATTGACCTGTTGGTACTTCTGCTCTCATGCAAGGCAGAGAGAATAGAAAGAGTTGGTGAGTACATAAACCTATTCATATACACAATACACAGCTCAATATTACACAAGAATAAACTTTTATACTTGAGTTATAATACATCTGGATGTTATAGTAACAATTAATATATTATGACTGCAATTCTAAAGATGTAGAAGTAATGGCTACTGAAAATGGATGGTTCTTACTTTTAAGTAGATGTTTTTATACATGTATAAGCTGTTGTTGTATCTCCACTTATCTGAGAACAAGCATCATGCTTTCAATAGGTCTTACTTCTGAATAGCTGTGAACAGGAGTGAACGATGAGCTCTAATATATCTCAGCATGGGGACTATGCATGCACACTGTGTTTACCTTTTCTAAAACAATGTGCCATATAAGCCAAATGTTTTGGACATTCAACTATACTTTGCTAACTTGGGATGTGCCAGCTTTATCTTTCAAAAGTTTGAAGGACTTTTGGAAGATGAATGATGTAGCTATTTATCATGTGAAGACTGGTTTAAATTGAGGTTATAGTGCTTATCTTGGTTGCAGTCTGGTGCATCAGTCTGTAGCCATTAGTTACAGTTCATCATATCCCCTTTCCTTCTTCATGTCTGACTTATTATTTCAGAATCATGAGCAGATTGACTGGCTTGCTGAGGTCAACACAATGTAACAGAGTCTGAATAGAGCAGTACCGAAAATGCCAAACACAAAAATGTTTATGTTGTCCTTTATGCTTCCAGGAATGTTGACATACATATAGAAATTAATGTGCAAAATTCAAATCTGGAAGATTATAGCAGCAGTTCATAGCAATTAAGATTTTTAAAAGCTGGAAAAGTTTAAAAAAATACTTATTAATTCAATGTCACTTCTACAATGTTCCTTTCATTTCCTGTCACCTTTTTTACTTCAGATTTCAGGGGTACCTGAGAATTCCCCAAAATGAGGCTGATGTAGAAATAAGATGGGCATTCAACCCACAAGTTTGCAGAAATGCATCTCAGGGTTCCTACTGTTGTTCCTAGTAGATTACATTGTCAATGGTTAGGAACAATATTATATTGCAAAAGACACCAGACTGGAGAATTTTGATATAACACTATGTATATATCTGGCTTAATTCCCCTCCTCCCCAACAAAGTAAGGCTTCACCTACAAGTTATGATTATAGCATGCTTTTTTTAGAGGAGACAGATAATATGGATGTTGAGCTGCTTACAGAAACTGGCTCCCATTTATGATAAGGTAATTCTAATAATATTAAACCACTAGGTACTGCATAAGAAAACCTACATCTTTTGAGAGCTTATGTCAGTGAAGAACAATAGATAAAGATTTAGAACTCTGAATGGCAATTAAACATTGGAATCACATCAGAAAGCACTGTATCGATGGGCAACCCCCATTTTTCAGTATTGTCCCTAAATAATGGCAACAATGAACATTTTTGGAGGCAAGTTCTTAGTGCCATATCCTTCCAATGGGCAAAGATAAAGTTACTATCAAGATTTTGATTTAGAAATTGATCCCTTCCTATTTATCTTTTCAGGTCAAATGTAGCTTACCTTCTTGTAGCTGTCTGCTAGCAGGTTCCCCATAAGTACCACCAGTTGAGAGAAAGAAGGTCGGATCTCAAATTTCTCTTCCCAGCATTTCTGCATAATTTCATAGCTGGACAAACATATGAAAGAAGATTTCATGGTTTGGGAAATGCTTGAAAAGTGGATGACATTTGTCCTATTTGAGGAAGATAGTTGTTTACCGAAAACACTCACATTTCATTGGATGCATGGGTAGGTTTGGACATCCGGTAGCCACGTTTAATAGCATTATAGAATTGCTCATTCATAGGCAGTTCAGGATATGGAGTCCCACCTAAGACCAAAAGAGCGAACTTAGGCAACCACCATCTATTTCTTAATTTCACAACAATAACTATGGCTATTGGGAGTGGTTCCTCTCAGACAGAAAGATGGATGACAGAAAACACTAATGATATAAATAAAGAGAAGGTTCTTTAAGTAGACTAGAGAAGTAACACAAGTGTTTTTCATTTTAAACACAGAACATTTGGAAGGCACGATGTACCAAAAGTAGCCTGGACAATGCTGACTAAAGAGACATACCCAGAGTGAATATTTCCCAGAGAAGAATCCCAAAGGACCACACATCGCTTAAGGTAGTGTAGAGGTTGTTGAAGATGCTCTCAGGGGCCATCCATTTCAAAGGCAAGAAGGTCTATTAGAAAAGACAAAACAGAGATTTTATTTAAAAAGCTTGCCATTGTACTGACCACTGAAGGTTTCTGAATTGTACTTGGTTAACAATGCTTTTCTATGAATGTTAATGGAACTCATTTGGAACCTGGGAAGAACTACGAGTCCTTCTTAGTCAGAGAGGGGGATCCTATGACCGTGGCCTTGCTACTGTCAGTCCTGCTCAGTATGGCAGCAGTATGACAAAATGTGATTCCAGTCAGCAGTGAAACACTTAGGCAAGTAATTAACAATAATAACAACACGTTCTAAATTTCATACACAGAGAATGGATTGCTGCTTCGGAAGTAATTTAAATGATGATCACTATCCAAATCCAGTTTCAAGGAAAGGATAACTATTTCAAAAACAGACATAGAAGGAAAAGCTTCAAATACTAGTTTCCTTCACAAGTTACAGTGTATGGAGGGAAACCCACAAATTGAAAGCTAATGGGGCTTTAGTGAGGACCTGCCTCTGACATTGCACGACCTCCCTAGTCATACCCTTGAGCCTTCAAAACTAGTGTGGACATCCAATCAGGGCAACTTATACACAGAGACCTCTATTTACATTGTGAATTTTGTGTGTGTCAGATTGCTTCCCTATTGACATACAGCAGTGCTGTGAGGAAGAATTGGGGATTCATGCAATATTAGGAAGACAACTTAACAGCAGGCTTTTGGTGCCTCTTAAGTGCAAACTAGCTCTTTGTGCCTCCCAAAGGAACTGAGAACTGTTGATATGATTGTCTTAGCTGATCATTTGGTTTTATTTTTAATGGCTTCTAGTTTTCATGGATTTTATTTGTTCGCATTGAACTATATCCTGAGAACTTTTAGTCATAGAATAATCCTACATACAGAATGGCACTGAGCTTCCAGAGATCAGAGCAAAGAATTTAGAAACACTTGCAGCCTGAAATAATCAGGAGAAACATTATATTGGAAAGAAAAAACTTGAGCAGAAGACACCCTCAAGAGAGGGACAGCTGTATTATGCTTGTTACCACCATTTCCGGTATTCATCTCCTCAGCTCATACTTTTCTGTGACATGTGAAATCAGTCTGCTTCTGTTTTTTTTTTCCCCTCCAGCAGCTTGCGTGCTGTTCTCCTAATCACCATCTTCTAGGCTGAAACAGGGCTCACTTGTGCAACCAGCATCAAAAATAATTTCCAGGAAGAATTGCAAAGAGCCAGGGGTTTCATTTCCTATTTACTGGGGAAAGTGACTGGGTAAGGGAGATTTAGAGACGTGCCTTCTGTTCCAAGCTGTGCACCATGACTCATAACAGGACTCTGGTCAGACTGTTTCAGTCCTTGAAAGCCTCAACCTAAGTATATATCCACCAAGTTCAACAGAAAATGATCAGCACGGGGAGGATAAGATCAATAGAGTACTTTGAGTTTTATGTATGATGAGTTGGGAAGCTTGCTTACCTGTACCCATGATGATTGTTACAGTGTGTAAGTTGAACACTGTATTTAGTGATATAGCTATACAGATATTAGCTGAAAAGAATTGATTGGTAATCTGAAGTTCGCTAGATATTTTGGTTTTCAGTTCCAATCAGTTCCTGCCAGCATGACCAGTAGCAAGGAATTATGAGGGTTATAGTCCTAAACATATGGAGATCACCAGGTTGGGAAAAATCTGCCTTTTTGCCTAGAAAGTAATGGTGTGAAACCAGGGTTACCTCTAGGTGAAGTCTAAAACTCTACTGGCATACCTCACATGTAAAAGAGACATGAAGAATTTAGACCTTTGTAAAAGAAAGTCTCTTTTCAAATTCAGGACAAGTTCTCCTTCCCAGAGACTGGAGAGATGAAGATACTTCCATGCAAAATCATCTATGAAGAATTTCAGGAATAGGTTCTAGGGCTAGCATGAAGTGTTACTAATTCACTGAATTATCTTGTGGGTGGGTGGGACCAAAATAATAATCTATGTGAAATATTTTAAGTTTCTTCTGAAACAAAGCTCCTTGAGATGCTTTGCAACTTCCCAATAAAAATAAATGCAATTAAAACAAATAAATAAACGTAAAAATTAAAATCATTAAAATAAAGAGCAATAAAAATCATTAAAACAATAGCAGCAACAACATAAATGTGGTGATCAATTCTCTTAAAAGCAGACGGAAATAGCCAAATCATTAAGGCCCATTTAAAAACTATCTGGGAAGTAACTATGCATATGCTTTTGGTAAGACAAGCAGAGGGATGGACTGTTACCAAAAAAAAGCCATAACTCTTCTGGCTAAGCTTAGATTAATTAAAAACAAACTAGAAGAAGACACTGAAGATGTATTCTGAGAATTCATATTTCTGACCTTAATGGCTGTATTCCGGTATATGGCCAGCCACATAAAACAAATCTTCAGAATGCTCAAGAATTCGAAATTCCTATTTGTGGGTATGTGCCTTTCCCCAAGAGATCAAAAAGCTCAGGTGGAGCAAGGATGCTCCTAAATTCATGCTGTATGCTTAACTCTGCCTCTCTTCCTATTTTGGTAAAAGGGACACCCACAGTCCAGGTAATCTTGCTACTCACATTCCCCTTGGAAATGTAATTTGAATCTCGCATGATGTCTCTGGCTAGGCCAAAGTCACAGATCTTCACCAGTTTCCCCTCACAGATCAGTACGTTTCTTGCAGCCAGATCTCGGTGCACACACTGGATAATAGAGAAAAGACATGCTGTGTGTGTAAATATACATCTCAGGTGTTCTCATTGTTCTTTCAAAAGACGTTATTGTGCCTCAGAGTTTTTCAGAACAAAGCAGCATCACAGAACATTGTGAGACAATGTAATGAATATACTGAAGAGGTCCTCAGGCAATAGCTTTGGAGAGATGTGGAAACACTATTGTGGAAATACTGCTGTCCATGCTGCATGACTTCATTTTCTCCTCTCGCACCACAGCCTCATTTTGCAGACTTCACAATGCTTTAAAATACTCTGCAAAAGCACAAGGCCCACAAAAATGTAAGCAGCAGCGCTTTAGCTGAGACACTTATTTTTAAGATGATTGCCATTGCCACTGTCATAGGTCGCTCAAAGCATATTTGGAGTCAGTTTAACATTAGGTGAAAACGATGGTGCACGTGCACATACAGTACATATTAATGCAGCACTTTGCTCAAAGGGAGAACAGCGGTCAGAGGCCCAAACTTGTGGGTTTTTTTGTGGGGAGGGTTAGGTTCTTTTTATTACTGGCTGACTAGAGCACTCTTATCATTGAATGGTACTTGAGTATCAGGCATGTGAAGGCATTCCTTCAGGCAGCAGACGCCAGGAGGCAGCAATGGGATCTTCTCAACTTGTTCCTCTTGAATGCACTTGGAAAACACAGTTGTGAATGCCCCCCCCCCAAAAAAACCACTAGCCTGCTGCCCCTGGTGTAGTGGAAGACACTATCCTATCAGCAGGGCTGAAGGAATATTTGACAGTTAGTTGGACAAGGATTAGGGAGAGAATATTTTCTCAGATATAGGATGTCTTGGGTTAATTCTAAGGCTGCTCCATTCCATAGCCTTTGCCTTGCTTCACACACAAGCAAGCCATTGCAACAGGAATTGTAACCGGGCACTAGGGAACAGAAAAACAAAGAAATAGTTTGTTCCTATTGTTTACTATATTGTGGCACTTTATGTCCATGGTTCCAAAAAAACAAACATACAAAATCAGAGAATTTGATTTTGAACATTGACTAAATTTGTACATCTTGCTAAGCCATGTTTTGTTTAACCACTGTTTGTCGAATAACCGCAGTTGCCTGGTTCACATAACATGCTGTGTTTTAGAAACTACAAAGGCTGAGTTCACACCTCATTGTAGAATTATTTCTTTGTACTCTGAGGTGCTGGGATTCTTCTACCCTCCAAATTCATTGCTGGGCAGAACTTCTCACAAGAGATCATGTCTTTCTTGCATATTGTTTTCTTTCCAATTCCATTTCTCCATTTTTATATACATGCCAGGTCCCTCCCTAAGAAATATTCAGTCTTACGAGTCAGGATGCTTCCCAGCACTATTTTTTAACCCTGTGGTGCTAGCAATATGACATTCATACTTTATGTGAAATCTTAATGCTGGCTTGTCAGAATGCACTTCAGAAAAACAACCGCAGATCTTCTGTGCAGTAACTTAGAAGTGGTCTCTATGGCTGCACAAGTTTTAGTCTTTTTTCCCCCTTGCTACCACTATTAGCAAAATGCCTTACATGTCCAAGATGGCTCAACCCTGATCAAGATTATGACAATATAGACATGCTGATGAGTGAGCTACTATGTCTGAAATGAACTCTATGACATGATTAATTGGAGTTATTGTGATACTAGGCTACGCTGCAAGATTTTTTGCTACCCAAAGGAGAGAAGCCAGTGGAACCCTTCCCATCTACCCATTTAATCCAAGGTGCCTAATACCCCAAGCTAGCCAGGTTTGGGAGCATATAAAGCAAAATATACTCACCAGATCTTCTACCTAACCTATAAAGAAAAATACAAACTAACAGCTTCCCGTTTATGACCTATCAAATCTGTAGTCTGAGGGACTACAGGTAGTCCCCAGTTTAAGAACAAGTTCCGTTCCCAAGGTCTGTTCTTAAGTCGAATTTGTATGTAAGCTGGAACAGTATTATTATATAATACTGTATAAGTAGTATTGGGTAATGAACTCGAACCGTTATGTATTTAACTTGAATCATTGCGTATTGAACTTGAATTTTGCTACAGCAGGCTCTGTTCTTAACTATGGGTCATCTGTAACCTGGGTGTTCTTAACCTGGGGACTACCTGTACTTCACTTTGCTTGAATATTCAGGCTGGCTCTGAATATACTGAGCTAGTCTTTTCTTACTGAATGCCATGGCTTTTGGTCTATGCACACAGGGGATTAGGTAAATATGGCTTGTTGTGAAGAAGGATGCAGTAATGTCTAAAAAACAGCATACCAAAGTCTAGTAACACCAACACTGACAGCCCTCCTGTTTATGGTGCTGAGAGAGCCTACTGATACATCCTTGTTCACCTCCACCGGCTTCCGTATCTTTCCTGAGCCACAAACCAGCACCCAACCAACCCCTTCTCCTTTGAATCCAGATATCCATAAATATAGCTACATAATCCTGAGTGCAAATATATTTACATTTTTAGAAGCTAAGAACTCCATTCCATTGGCCACTTGGAAGCTAACTCCAACAAGATCAGTATAGCTGAGGAGAGGAGACTCATTGATCAAGGTCACTTTTTCTGAAGCTGGAAATATAGAATAGATACAGTGTTTACTGAATCACTTTGAAAAAGAGTAGATACATAAAACTATTCTGACTATACACACTATAAAGGCATTGCTGGGATATTAGAAACTTCCTTCACCCAACATTAAATGATAGCATGACATTTAATAATGAACAAAACTTCATTTTTTTGCAATTTCTCTTAAGGCAATTAAATCACTAGAGATATATTTGAAGAATAATTATGCAAGCTGTTTTTCTGTAATCTTCCTTACCTGATGGTGAATAGCTGTCCAGCTCATAGGTCATGCCATAATTGGAAGAATCAATGTCCACATACTTGATTTCACCTTTCATGTCAGACATGGGCACATAATCCAGTGATTCATCCTTACTCATATCCATGTAGCCCCCATCACTTTCTACAGACAAGGACGTATGGCTGCAGAGAGGGATAACTTATTTAAACCATTTGTTTGTCCCATTAGGACAGTTTTATGATAACAAGCCACCTCTAGGATAAAAGCAGGAAGGCAAGAATCAAAACTTAATAGTGTTTCCTCTCACATTATTTGTTTACAATATTAAAAGCTGTCTATAGGCAAAGAAAGGGAAAGTGCAAGATAAATTATTCTGTGGAAGAAAAGAAAGCAGAATGTGATGTTTGCATCATGGAAGCCAGAGAAATATTCCATGTCAAAGGTAAATTAGGTGTAGTGATCTATACACGCATTGTATCTGAATTGCGTATACACGCAAGCCTGAATCAAAAGTTGCTGCATGTGTGACATGCTGGTGCAGATGCCTGAGTTATGAACCATCTTGCCCATTTTCAGTCATTGAAGGGTATCGTGTATATACAGCATGTACCAGAAGTCAGGCTGTATGGGGCTATCACAATGCGTTTTATTGATTTTTTTCCAGAGAAAATGTTACTGTACTTAGGAACGTTCAAAGGTCATGTATCAAATGAGTTAGGAAGTATTAAATGGAAACCAATTCAAACATTTAATGTAACTTATATAATAAATTGTCTATGGGGCATGACTTTTAGTATACCCTGTATATTTGTATGCAAAGTACCATAACTGGAGGAATCTCTGAATATCCCTTCCAGTGACAAGATTTGGCATATATAAAGCTTTGAAATATCTGTCTTCATTTGACACATGCAGCACATCTTACTCTGTTGATTGGAATGGACATGCAAAAGAAAACAAAACAAAACAAAACAAAACAAAACAAAACAAAACAAAAAATGCTTTCAAATTTAAATTACATAGAAAAATCAGTGCAATTTTTCATTTATATATGTGTGTATGCTTTTCATTTATTTGTGTGTATGTATGTATATGGATGGATGGATGGATGGATGGATGGATGGATGGATGGAT